ACACATCAGTTTTGTGATGCTTCTACAAGTTGAGAGCCTAGATCAGCTGCAAAAAGTTGGTGCCGAAAACTCTCGTTTCTGTCTACCAGACATTCCATTTCAAAGAGCTGAAAATTGACAAGATTGGGGAAGAAATGAATAACTAAGCTCAATGCTTTATAAAGCAGAAAACTATTTATTTACTCGTTCATTCGAAGGCAGTTGGCACGATAAATCTCTAGAAGAGTAGGACTGATACCGCCTGGCAGGATAGGATTCCGCGACCCTGAGCAGGTGCTGCGTAGCGCCTTTTCTGAGGGAGGCACCCTTAGAAGGGCCCTATCGAGCTACAACATTACGACCCGAGCGCCCACCACGCCCGCCCGCCCACAAATGGACGACCGTACCTGACGCTCGTATTGCTTTATTTGCAACAAAATATGAAGCGAAGAGATTGGTGCGGTGCTGCCATGGATATATGGGAACATACATGCAGCCGTACCCACCGTAGCGCCGTTCTGCACCGTTATTGGCAAGATGTCTACAGAAAACTCGTCCGAAATTGTTATTAACGACGGTTTTCCTTCGCAGGTTTCTGACCGTTTCACTTCGTTTTTTCGCCATTTTCCCCACCATACAGGAGGGGGCAAAAAAATGTCGCAAAGTTTTCGCTGCCCAGACAGAGGACGTGGATACGAGTACCAGGGCGGAAGATACCCAAGATGTTCCTCTATAAGCAGGAGCTGGCTCTCGCCCATCACCTTCATGTACACCAAAATATGAAGTCATCTCCAGTCGCAGCCTGACTGGAGAAGACCTTTGGAATTCATGTCACCTCCAAACAGCTGCGAAACTTCTAGTATGGAGTCACCCATGGATAGCTACCTGGAGACCAGTACTCTCGATCTGGAAGACCTCCAACATCGAGCAGCTCCGACAACGTCGCTACGGTCTAGGACATCATCTTCACCACAGTCGCCAAGGCGCGGGTTGATGGTATGGACGTACCTGGAATGGAAAGACCAATATTTTCTTCGTGGACCCCGGACTGAAGGTGAGCGCTGGCGGTTACATCGAGCAACTCGTGAAGAATATCCTCCTCACATGTCGTCGCCCGTACCTTCTTGGAAACTTTGTACTGCTACAGCATTGGGTGCCACCACATGGAATCGAAGGGCATTGGAGAAACTCTCGCCTACTTGGAATGGAAGGGGGCTGAATACCTAAAGAAGATGGAATATCCAAGTAGGTCACCTGACCTGAATCCCCTCAATTACCCGGTTCGGGCGGAGTTCAATAGGGTGGTCTACGGTGGCGGAGAAATCGACTATCTCGCTGATCTCAGGCACCACATCGCGGTCGCGTGCCAGAATCTCTCGATGGCGCTCGTCCAGAAGGCTGTGGCGGAGTGTCATGATAGTATTTAATATGCTCTTTCAATATGGTGGTAAAAATGTCCGATCAGAATTTAATAAAGTGTAACTTATAGCGTCTAAAGTGACTTTTTGAAGTGGATGGAGGAAAGTGACTTTTTTTGCCCCCCCCCCTGTATAGCGCCCTGCTAGCGTTTGAGGCCAATTAACAAAATATTATGCCAACTGCCTTTAAATGCAGTAGAAAGTGTGCCGCGTAGTCAAGAAGAATACAATAATATGGCACAGTGATACAGAAGAAGGAGAGAGAAAAGAAATCATAAAAAAGATGAAGAGAACAAAAAGACCAGAACTCAAGGTAAGGTTACGTGGCAGGTAGAGAAAACCAGGTATGGGACCTTCTTTGGGCCAGGTGAATAAGGTTGTTTTCCTATCAAGTAGATGAACCTGCTCCTCGCTTAAGAACGACAGGCACAACTAGGATTTGCTGGAAACGGAACGCGTAACGAACGAATCCGTCTAGGACCGAAATTAGGGGGGACCCAAAGCGAGAGAGTTCATCACTCTTCGAGCTCATCAAATAGATAACCAGCGCGAATCAGTCCCCTGTCAATCACAGATACTTGCGTTCAAATCATCACACGTTGCTCCAAAGATAATTGCGAGATAGGTCACAAAAGCCAAAAATAATTTACAGAACGCGCTCAAAAGTCCATTGCCAAACACCTAACAATGGGAGTGATTGCGTAGCTGAAACCTATTAAAATACCTGTTGAAAGAGTGAAAGAAAAAAAGAGTGAAACGTTTATAAATGCTCTGATCTTTCAGAGGATGCGAAGGGTTGATCTTCTCCAGCCAGCGATCCAATGTTTATCAAGTGAAAAATCCATCTTTAATGGGCCAACCCAGCATACTTAAAGAAGCTGCAAAAACTCCAAGCGATGAGTCAGGAATGCCAAAAATGCCAGAATGATTAGACCGAAATGTGAAAATACCAGTGTTAATTGAACAACTCTAAAGGTATACATGTAAGTGTAACCCACGAGCTTTCAAAAACTTTTTTTACTATTTTTGGGCATTAAATTCACACATCGTTTCTATTAAGCGCACTGCGCTGAAAGAAGGAAGGTCAGGTGTTTGAAGTGACCGCTGATTCGACGTCCTTGCTGTAAACTGAGTCATGAAGCTAATCTTTGGCCACTGTCATAATACACAGGATCTGTCAGCGCTGCCGGACAACATGGCTCGATGAAATTCATATCATATCAAGAGAGAACCTTAACGATATTGTACAGAAAGCAACTGACAGAAACTCGGAATAAGACGAATTGTTATGACATTTTTATTCAACCATGTCGATTACACATAAGTCTTCACGATTTATCCTGGTACTACAAAAGAAGTTACACGGATCCTAATAGGGTGTGTGATCACCACGGACAGCAATACATGCTCTGCACCGCGATCCCATACTCTCCACGAGGTTGGTAATGAGTTCCTGGGGCAGGGCATTCCACTCCTCAATCAGTGCATTTGACAATTGCTGGATCGTCATTGGTGCATTTGGTCGTGCTGCAATGCGTCTACCCAGTGCATCCCACACGTGCTCGATGGGATTTAGGTCGGGGGAACGGGCGGGCCACTCCATTCGCCGGATATCCTCTCGTTCTAGAAGCTCCTCCACCTGTGCTGTTCGATGCGGTCGCGCATTGTCATCCATGAAAATGAAGTCAGGGCCGATTGCAGCTCTGAAAAGACGGACATGATGTAGGAGAACCTCGTCGCAGTAACGCTGACTGGTGAGGGTTCCATGCTCAAAAATCTGGAGGTCAGTACGGCCATGCAACATGATGCCTCCCCATACCATAACACCTCGACCACCAGTACGATCACGTTCGACAATGTTTCCGGGGGAGTTGCGTGTTCCCACCTGAGGGTGCGTCCAGTATCACTGCTCAGACTGAGCCTGCTCTCATCCGAAAACAGCACACGCCTCCATTCCTCATCGGTCCATTCGCCATGCTCCTGGCACCACCGTAAACTGTCTCGCCGATGCGCGGTCCAAGGAGCACAGCGTAACTCGTCGCGAAGGGACACCACCAATGCGAGTCGTCTTTGTCTACTATGTTAAAAGTGATGATGGCTTGCCCTGAGTCCATTAAACGTCGTGTTCAATCGCCTGACGTTGACTGACGAGGATTCTCTATGCCTGCCTTGCACAATGCTAGCTAGGCGGTTGCGTCCCCTTGAGCTAAATGATATCTCGTCGGTAGTTGTCCTTGGTCGGCCACCTCCTCGTCTTCGGGCAGCAGTACCAAAGGTTCGGAACGCTCTCCATGCACGTGAAACAACGCTGTGAGCGATACCGAACTCCTGGGCTACACTCGTCATGGTTCGACCTTCTTCGAGTTTCCCTATGATCCTTCCTCGAGTGAAGTCATCCAGATGCTCTCTTCGGGACATGATGTATCGAAGGATACTACCACAGTTCTTTGCAGCTACTCGTTGATTGAGAAAAAAATTTTTTCATACCCATAGACTGCCTCGATTTGCGCGGTCGGCCATATTTGGCACTTTATTCAGGCCTTCCAAATTCATGCAATGGCAACATGGCAGAAGCCAAACTTATGATCTAGTCTCGTATAGAAAAACGGGTTCCGAATCAAAATTGGCTGCAGCAGTGGTGCGGTAATTTTTTCCTAAGTCGGACTTCGCTTGCATCATGTATATGAAATTCCACATATTCGAACGGTCTTCTATAAGCGCATGTTATTCAAGGCTGTTGAGAAGTCGACTACGTGGAGAATAGAAGTTTACTCTGGTTCTCTGCGGACGGTTGGGCGTGTCAGCCAGTGGAGTGTGTCACCCTATCAAAGCCGTTCTCTGCCTTCTTGTTGAAGAGCGCATGCGACAAAAAGTGGTAGAAAACGAGTAATACGAAGGATATGATACAGTATTGTCACTTGCCCGCTTCAACAACTGGTGTAGAACGAGTTTGGCACCGCGCCAAACGCAGCGCAGTGACACGCCCAACCGTCCGCAGAGAAGTACATGTGCTTCCATGTGCTTGCAAGAAAAACGTAATGAGAAAAAAAAATCGCGTTCACAATAAGCGTACATTTTTCGAATATGCATCTTCTCCTGAGTACCATCGTTTGTCTTCTCCACATCTGACAGTTCGTCCAGTACCTGTTTCAGATTGCAATTACTACTGACTTCGCCTTCTTATACCTTCCAACAGGAGCGGTGTCTGAAGGGATCCTAGCACAAGTACTTGTGACACTATGCAGCGTCACTTCTATTTCTTCATTGACATTAGCCTATGAACAATTTTGTTTATAGATATATCCAGCTATGCAAGTAAGTAGTATGTTAGCAAGTCATACCCTGAACACAAGAGGGTTTTCTGGGAATGCCTCTACAAGAAGGTTCTCTGAGAATGCCTCTGAGTACCAAGTTCTCCTTACAATCAACTACGGTCTTCATAAGGCGGAAATGAACTCCCCCAAGTGCTCTCAATGTCGCTTTTTGTCTCAGTCTCACACGCGGGAGAGCAAAACGTTTTTTCTCTGGAAGGCACTACAAGTTACGTGATGTAACGATTGCAGAGCTCGTTTTCTGTACATCTATCATTCACTGAAGTGGGCAATGGTTATCGCTTTCATCAATGTAGCCATCATATGTAACTGGATCGGCCTGCTTTACGTCGTTCTTTGTCCAACGCCGCTTGTTATACAGTACACAAGAAAGTATATATCGGAAAATTACGGTATAGATGCGACACGGAAGGCGTTTCTAGGATTAATATGGAAGGTTAGCTGTTTCTCGCTCCACGGGAATGGCCCCCAGTTCCTTTATGACGGTAGACGGCACCATTCTTGTATAGTAACGCATACTTCCTCATGCATTCAGGAGAAATGCCTGGTGATTTGATACAATATTGTTTTCAGTACATAACGCCACTCAAATTCACGCTTGTTATTGAGACCTTCATAGTTATATTGGCACTTGGTACAGTTGGAGCCCTTTGTGCTTGGAAGATTGACCGATGCTTGAGAGTGAATGCAATGAGCCCTCAAACAAAGAAGATTCACCGGCACATGCTCTTGATGCTCATTTTACAGGTTTCCACGTTGTTCTTTTGAGAGCGTAGGGCTGACATTGTTTTATTAAGCGCGCTCTAACTTACCCACCCGACATAGCTGCTGTCTTAAACCCACCCGACATAGCTGCTGTTTTCAAAAAGAAACTAGGCGCAGAAAGTCACGTGCAGCACGAATGAGACACCACTTTCCCCCTCTGCTCCACTAATCCGAAAAAGGATAAAGGAAAAAGGTCTGGTAATAGATATCCCTTCAGATCAGGGTTTGCGGGATTTGCACTGTGGCCTTCAAGGCTATAGGTTTGGTGGCAGGAGCATCTGATCGCTACCCATCTCTCCAATGATTCTTTTACAAAAAATTCTCTCCGAAGTCTCTATACACATTCTACAAAAGTTGGAAGCGGGAAGCCTAATAAGGTATTTATGGTTTTGTCCCGCCCAGAGACCCTCATTCTCGTCGATTGCAAAGAGCTCTGTTGAAACCATAAGTTCCAGAGTCATATGGAGTCTGCGCGTGAGAGCACAAATAATTCTCTATGTTTCGTAGGAAGAAACTTTGTTACCTTGATGAGTGCATGTGTATGTGTGCAGTTGTTTTGATATGACATGAAATTTGTACTCATGCTAGTCTTCAGGATCTCTTTTAGACTGTGTGTCCGGCTTTGCTGCTCAACGGACCCATTTGTGCAGCTTATATGCTTCTTTTCATCGGCGCTGATAGCCCAAGTGTTCTGAGCTACATTATGGGGCTTTTCGTGTCATCGTTTACGATATTTTCCCCAGCAATTGTTCTTGTGTTTATGAAGGACTATAGGAATTATATTCTCATTGCACTACGCCTCAGGAAACCTAGTCAGATTACGAAAGTGACGGCTAGCGAGCCAAGATCGGCTCGATGAGGGCACAAATAGGAACTTTGTTGATCACTGTCTATTTTGTTTTATAATGCATGTCAGTTATCGTTCTAAAAAACTGTATTGGTTTACATACGAGCGTCCGATCCAGCATGAGAAAGGGTTGCAGTATGTGATTGCATGAGCTTAGAAAGCCGGCTGTTTTGACTCTAGCAGCCTCAAACGAATCGTGGTTGTAGTACTTGCAAAATTCTTTTCAAGGCTTCCATACACATTCGACCAAATTCAAAAGTGGAAGGGCTAATCGATCAACTTCTGATGGGATGGCTGATGATTATCTATCCCCTTCCGAAAAAATGGAGGCAATTATCAAGCGAGTTTACACAGGAGCAGCTCACACTTGCTATAATAATTCATGAATACTGCGTGGAAATATTAAAAAAATTATAGCTCACAATTGCGGATGTAGTTTGTTATGACATCAGTGACGTAGAGGCATTAGCACTCGGGAAGATATTAGGTTGTTCGAAAAGTCCTGCGACACTGAAATTAACGTAGTACGGCCAGTGACATATAAGATGAAGACAATTTCCAAATCATACAGGTATCACCACTAGTTTGGCTAGACTTGGGATGCATTCTTTGGCAACAGATCTTTATTTCCTGCGATAGAACTACGGAAAACATGATGATAAGAAAAAGTGTGTTCGGTGGACCTTCATTTAAATATGGAGTAAACGTCGACTTTTCAGGAATTTATGACGCTTAGCTTAAAGGAATGTGGTAGGGACCAAAAAAGGTATTAGGTTAGAGACATGCTAAACTTAATGAGTGAATAAGACTGGGAATATAAGAAGTCGCATTTGTTCAAGGATCAAAGATCCACAATCTTTAGGTGTGGCTGATACCTAGACAAAGAAGCTTCTTCGCATTTCTGCGATGCGAAAGAGAAGATTTTGTACAGTAATTTTGAAAATTCAGAGCGCTGGACGTCATCCATGTTGGTTGAGGTTGTTAGAGTGCGACTGTGTAAGTCCTTAACGCGTTTCATTAGGTGTCCAGAGATACCGCTTTTAAAGTGCACCGAATAAACCTACTGGAAGATCGTGTTATGCCGATGCAATGCTGGCTTTTGGGCTGGGCGCAAATCTACCGTTTCTATTTGAGAGATCCTGCGAGGAACATGGGTGCAAGATATACGCAAAGGACCACCATCGATTTATTACAAACACAAGATATCCAAATGTTCTCGAGTGTGTACAAGGAAGAAAAAAAACTCAGTCACATGTCATTCGGTATGAACTTTTGTCAGAGGGGGTTTCAATCTTTGAGCCGATCTTATAAAAAATTTCTATAGACCGAGACTGCGGAGCCAGAAGGCATGGCGATTGTCAGTTTAGGTGGAGCCTAGAGAGGCTGCCAGACTGTAGCTGGTTGGTTTTACGGTTCGGCTGCGGCCCAAGAAGTTGAGGTAAAGGCCGTCATTCTGTGCTTGGTGGCCGATCGACCTTATACTTGCCTAATCTATCGAGTCAAATAAGCCCAAGCCTGTAAAAGCCGACTGATGCACAAGCTGACCCTTGCCATGGCAAGTGAAAATAATTCCCAAGGACAACGTAGTGTTGGCTTCCCCGCTATGCGGACTAGCTAAGGAATATAATATGGGATAGGTCGATAAAGTACCTCGATCTCTGAGGACTTGTTTAAGCTCTTAGAAACTCAAGATCATAGATATACCCATGCGCAGAAACCCCAGAGGACAATCTCCACTAATCAGGGATAAAAACCTCCAAAATGATTTTTGGTCTTTTAGTTGAACAATATAATCAAAGTTGTCGCAGGAATGTCTTCGGACAACCCTAATATATCGAGCAGAAATATTATTACTGTGGAAGGTTTCTCGTGGAAAAAAGTTTGAGGGTTCAAACTGCATGAGGCAACCATACACCTTTTATTAAACCAGTATCATAGGGTGGAGGCAATCAAAGTGACTAAGAGACTGCCTAGCGTTACAAAGTGGTTATTATAGTGTTGTTTCGAAAAAGTCTGCGGACACTCTGACTAAATCTTTTACGGAACTAAATTTGCTGTCAAGTAAAGGAACATCTCATTCATGCAAAGTATGCATTGATGAACTAGGACCAGGGTCCCTTTCTTGCACAGATTCTCGTTTCCAATTCTCAGTGGTTAGACTACGGAAACTGTGCGTAAAAAGAGGAGATGGCACTCATTCTCGCTGTTATAAGTTGAGCTTTTTGAAGGAATGCGATATGCGACCAAAAGGAAAGGTAGTAATCAGACGGCTGCAGTAACCTGGCATTAAATTAACACTGACCCCCAACCCCCCCACAACCACCACCCAGAGTAAGGGTCACAATTCTCGATCGTGAAAATGCACTGAATACTTTTTGGCGTTAGGCCTGACTCCCGCGCGGATCTCGCAGTTACCGAGTAGGTTAGAGAAAAATTTGAGTATTTCTGAATGGATTCAAGCGTGACGTCATCCATATTTTAAAGTCGATTAAGGTGGACTGTGGTCCTTACAACGGTGCTGGTATCCAGTGATACCGCTTGGAAGTCCCACCAATAACACACTGAAAATCTTTATCCCATGCACATCTTCTTTTGGCTAAGCAATCTACTTTTCTGTTTGAGAGATCCTGCGAGGGACATGTGCATGATGTACGCAAGGACTCCACCACTCGCTACCAACCACAAGATCTCACAAAAGTTCCTACGCTGTGTACAAGGAAAAGAAAACTCAGTCACGGTCATTCGGTATGACTTGTCAGACGGGTCCAACTCATGAGGCATCCTTCACAAAAATTTTTTCCGATAACCGAGATTGCGGAGAAGCATGGCAGTTGTCAGTCAGGTGGAGCCTAGAGAGGTTGCCAACTTACCGGTGGTTACGTTCGGCTGCGCCTCAAGAAGCTTGAGTAAAGGGCCGTCATTCTGTGCTGGTGGGCGACCTATACATTGCCTAACTACGAGTTAAATAAGTCCAGCCTGGAAGCGCTGATGCAAAAGCTACCCTCTGCCATGGCAAGCGATATCCTTCCTCAAGACAACGTAGGTGTCAGCTTCCTTGACTACGGCGAGTGGCCCTACAGGAACTCATAATATGGGACAGGTCGAAAAGTACCTCGATCTCTGGGGGACTTTTAAGCTTTGAAAACTTCCTCAAAGTCATGATATACCCATGTGCAGAAACCCCAGAGGACAGTCTCCACTAATCAGGGATAAAAACAAATGATTTTTGGTCTTTTTCTAGAACAATTCAATCAAAGTGTCGCAGGACTTTTCGAACAACCTAATATGTGCGCCTGCTTATTGTCCACGATGGGGAAAGCTGTACATCTCCGATAACGTGTCTTTGAGTGAGTAGCAGTTGGGGCTATCATTAGACATACCGGTAGAGGGATCATTAGTCAACGTGTTCCGATGTAGTGACAAGTGCTTTCATGTACGTGGCAGCGGTCTTGAAAAGAAATGGGTCAGCTGCCCGGTCGTTCCAAATATCAAAATATTGCAGGCTTTCAAAAGGTGAAATGAGAGACCATCAGAAAGACAAGTACAGATTTATAGCTTTTAGACCAGCACGAGTTTCCAAATAATGGCTAGAACAAGAGGGGCCGTCCAGCTCGTCCAGGACAGCTCAGCCATTTCGAAACAAAAACCCATTTAGGAATTAAGGACACAGAACAACCATCGTTGCCATGTTTGCCGTCCACACGAGTCCGAGGGGCTTTTCTCTCGCAGGGAGGTCGTGCAGGCCATGGTGAGCTATGCGTATCATGTAGGAGTCCATGCATGGACCACAGAAATGGGGTTCATTTTTGCCAAACGCTATTGGGAATGTCAAAAAAGCAAAGCAGCACAAGTAAAAAGCAAACAAGAAAGAGCGATTTAGGCGACCATATCAGCTCCGTTAAAGTTGTTGCATTGAGGGTGTATAGTTTGTGAGATAAAACAAGGCAGATAAGGTTAAAATCCAAGTACTTTACTTGACATGTGGCCAGCTACACTGAAGTCTTTCCGTCATCCCCGCAAGAACCTTTGATAGCTCCCGCATCTCACCTATCGTGATGGATGAACGGTGTGGGGGTTAGTGCAAAAGACTCTCAACCCGAGGCAGTTTGTGAATCTGATCCTCTTGGGGACATCTCTTTTCTTTTTTCAGAATCTCACCTCCTTATGTTACGAAATACCTGATAGTGTGTATAATCCACATATACAGGGGGGCCCAAAAAAAGTCACTTTTCTTCTATTGACTTTCGCTATAAGTTACACTTTATTAAATTCTGATCGGACATTTTTACCACCATATTAAAGAGCATATCAAATACTATCATGACACTCCGCCACAGCCTTCTGGACGAGCGCCATCGAGAGATTCTGGCACGCGACCGCGATGTGGTGCCTGAGATCAGCGAGATAGTCGATTTCTCCGCCACCGTAGACCACCCTATTGAACTCCGCCCGAACCGGGTAATTGAGGGGATTCAGGTCAGGTGACCTACTTGGATATTCCATCTTCTTTAGGTACTCAGCCCCCTTCCATTCCAAGTAGGCGAGTGTTTCTCCAACGCCCTTCGATTTCATGTGGTGGCACTCAATGCTGTAGCAGTACAAAGTTTCCAAGAAGGTACGGGCGACCACATGTGAGGAGGATATTCTTCACGAGTTGCCCAATGTAACCGCCAGCGCTCACCTTCAGTCCGGGGTCCACGAAGAAAATATTGGTCTTTCCATTCCAGGTACGTCCGGTCCATACCATCAACCCGCGCCTTGGCGACTGCGGTGAAGATGATGTCCTAGACCGTAGCGACGTTGTCGGAGCTGCTCGATGTTGGAGGTCTTCCAGATTGAGAGTACTGGTCTCCAGGTAGCTATCCATGGGTGACTCCATACTAGAAGTTTCGCAGCTGTTTGGAGGTGACATGAATTCCAAAGGTCTTCTCCAGTCAGGCTGCGACTGGAGATGACTTCATATTTTGGTGTACATGAAGGTGATGGGCGAGAGCCAGCTCCTGCTTATAGAG